ATCAGCCTTGACCGCAGCGTTTGAAACTTTCTTCATGAGACCAGAGAGTTCCTTCTTGTTGTAGTTCTTTGGCGTCGTCGGACTTGTGTTTACAAGTCTTGTTCTTGTTGTACGCGGTCTTGTTATCGTTTTCAGACTAGGACTGAGACTTTGCTTTGAGTTTCTTCAGATTCATGCAGTCCGCAGTGTTGTGAGTGCTGGGCTCGTGGTAGTCGCACCATTTTCTTCGTTCTTGGAAGAGTGGTCGTTGTTACGAGTAGACTAGTACTTCTTGCTGTTGTTCTTCTTCGAAGTAGCTTGCTTTGCATCACCGCCCTTGTCAAAGTCTTCGGAGTATTCCATGCATTCGCAGAATCCAATGGTTTCTCCGATAGAGGCTGGAGAAGGATCGATGTTGTGTTCGTCCATCTTCTTCATCTTCGAGCGTGGAATTCCATGCAAAACAATGTCAATGACTTCGTCATTGTTCAACGTTTGGTTGGGTCAAAAGGTGGTAGACGAGGAATTTCATCGGCGTTCATCCGACTGAGGTTTGTTGACATAAGCCGAGTAGACATATCAGCAGGCTTATGCATCTTGCGGCGCATGAAGCGTTTCTGCTTTTTCAGAGGAGCCTTGTAGGGACAGACTGCTTCGATCACAGGCATTATAAGCCAAACGTAATGTCAAATCCGTCCAAAGCAGGCTGAGACTGCATCCGTTCCAGGCAGCTGGAAAACGCTTGGAAAGGGCTTAGTCTTCACCGCCACGTACAACGCGTGGAGCAATCCGCGTTAACTGCAATCTGGCGCAAGGCATTCCAACGTATTTCACGGGTGGCCTGCACAGGTAGATTCGTAACTGCTCTTGCAGAGCAATGTCATCTCCTGAGGAGGTTATGTTGTTCGCAGGCGTAGCAATGACGAGCCCAACGGAGACTTCTCCATACGTCAAGCCACTTGATGTTCTGACGTTGGAGTCTCAGATCATTGATGATTTGGACCTTGAGGTGTACTTGGCGCTGTTAGCATCTGCTGGAACGGTGCGAATTTGTAGGTGGTAGAGCGGGAATCGTCGATTTCGCATTCATCGTCGGGGTCGATGAGAGGAAGGATGGTTTGTCAGCGCAGCTTAGACTCGAAGCGTGGTGTATGCGTCTTTGGCCAATCTTCATGGTGAGGGATAGGTTGAGGGTAGCTGAAAGCTATTGTGTTTGTTAACAAAATGCACTACGCTAAAAGTTAGTGTAAGATCTTTCGAGTGTTTTGAGTTTGAGAGAAATAAAGTTATGAGAGGGATTAAAAGCTATGAAAATAATCAACGAAGAGATCCACAATCAAAGGATCGTAGATCGTAACCCCGCGGGAGACTGTAGAGTGTGATAGAGTAGGTTGCCTAGCAATCCTACTCACTCCACGATCCAAAAACGGGACGCGTGGAAGATTCGTCTAGCATTTATCTAGTAGCGTGGAAGTATCCACGTGGAAATATCTTAGAGCGATGTTTCATCGATCAAACCTAGTATGACTGAGCGAGTCATTGAGAACCCTGTCTCAATAATCTACACGAGAGACTCAGTCATGAGTCAGACTCAAACCCTATCTAGATTCGAGTCGCGAGTAAGGCTAAGAGCCGTGTAGCATTAAGCTAGTCTGGGCAAGAGCATCTAGTTGCACATGTTTTGAGTTGGTGGTACCCGTAAAAGTGATTAGTTGAAGGGCTCCAGAGGGGAGAAGGAGGAGGGTTAAGCTACTGCAAGAGCATCTAGTGACATGTTTTTTGAGTTGTGGTACCCGTAAAAGTAACCAGTCAAATGCACTCCAGAGGGGATTATGTACAAGTACATGTACATGTACATGTTGCTATGGTATATATCCTTTCGAAATATCTTAAAACCAGGGTGGGAAGCAAAGATGCGTTATCTTAAAAATGGGTGTCCCGGGTCGATTCGCGCGCAGTGCGCGCGATTCGATTCGATGACGTCAGTCGTGGTTCGTGTAGACTTTGTACCACACGCTCCGTATGTAGCCTGTGGTAGGCGTGTAGAATCGCCTACCACACGCTACGTACGGAGCGTGTGGTATGTGTGTCGTAGCCGTGTAGGCTTGGTACCACACGCTACAGAGGTAGTATCTTACTGTATTTTCTATAGTAAACATGACTAATCGGTCCGACAGCTAGTTTGGAGCCCCTTCAACTAATCACTTTTACGGGTACCACAACTCAAAACATGTGCAACTAGATGCCTTTGTCCAGACTAGCTTAACTCTCCTCCTTCTCCCCTCTGGAGCCCCTTCAACTAATCACTTTTACGGGTACCATACCAGGTACCAGTATCGTATCTTAGTGGGTAGGCAGGTACACTATTATTATTGTGGTTTTGCCTCTTGGACTTTTTGACAAGATCTTGGATCTTTGTTGGGTAGTTGCTCTTGCTGCCGTTCAGTTGTAGTTAGCGCTCACGAGTCGTAGTGATAATAAGTTTGTGAGTACTAGCTAGTTTCTGTCTGGCTAGAGATGAACACGGCAGAAGTGATATAGGATCTGCAGTCACTCACCATCATTCTTTCCTTTTTCCGTCAATCATCCATGCAATGTATTCTTCATGCAGCGAGAAGATACCGGTACACAACTATGGATCGTATATTATGGTCAAGATGGTCCTTCAGGGCACTGCTTCTGGGCGCACCTGCAATGATAATGATCCTGTGGCTATTGCATTCATCAAACCAACCAAAGAACCTGATAAATGAGGAAATTCCATCATCAACAGCCAAGAGCAGCAGTCCTCCACCCTTTTACGTGCTAGATCCCAATGACTACCAACACTACTTTCCAGATACAGCATCGTTCGAGGCAGCCAAACAGCACGCTCCATTTCTGGATCTGCCAAGTAGTCTCAACTACAACGACAGCCTGGTCGCCTACTATTATCGTCTGAGGTCCTATCGCAAACACATTCGCAAGACCGACGATGATCGGTATTGGGTTGTCACGGAATTCCTACCCAATGTACCGGTAAGTAAAACAAGCTTGCATGAGAATATTTGTTTCACAAGCCCATCTCTACCTTATTTTTATGTGCACTCAATCCGTCCCCCCTGCTCTCCTCACTTACTTGTCATACAGTGGGCCGGAACTGCCAATACAATTTCGGCTGCTGCGGGCCATCACATTGTAGAGGGAATGTGGTTCTGGGATGCACCCACATTTGTAGAAGACTACATTCGGTTCTGGTACTTGGGTGGTGGCGGCAAAAATCAAAAGCAAGCTCCACAACGACATATTGCCAGGTACACCAACTGGATCTATCATGCTACCTGGCAGTATGCGCAACTCTGGGGATTCGATGAACCACGTCGGAGCCTTCTTCGCGATACATTGCCTCACGCTGCCAATGTCTTTCGTACCACCTATGTCGACAAGTACCTTACCAACAGCACTCGAAATGAGGGACAATGGAATACCAGTGGGCGGGTCTGTTGGACTCAGGATGATGGATATGATGCCATGGAGGTATCCGTCAGTGGAGGAGGATGTCGACCCACCATTGCCGCAGCCCTGTGGGGCGAAGCCACGGCATTGGTTCGTGTGGCCAAACTGTTGATGATGAAAGACAATCTGCAACAACCAGATATTATTCAGGAGTTTTCCGCTTGGGCTTTATTTTCGAAACAAGTCATTACACAACAACATTGGAATCCTGCCATTGAGTCCTTTGCCGTGATCCCACCTCCCAAGAGGCAAGAGGAGGAATACTTCCAACCCGGCCTTGCTCCAGCGAACTGTGATATACACAAGGAACGTCCACCCAATAAACTCGTCCAGGTGCGAGAATTACTCGCCTTTATGCCGTGGTTCTATTCGTCACTCTTGGACCACAAGAACGACGACAATATCACTGCTTTTGCTCGTCAATTTCAGTGGCTCTTGGAGTCTACCACCGACAATGGCTTTACTGCCCCATGGGGGTTGCGTACCGTGCAACGGAACACGCCCTGTTACAACTACAGCTGGGACCATGGAGACTGCTGGAATGGTCCCACATGGCCCTATGAGACTTCACGAGTGCTCACAGCGGTTGCCAACCTACTTGCTGACTACAACAATACTGCGGTGGTGGATGCCAGTGGAATGACACACAAGATTTGGGAGCAGCTCTTTCTCCAATACGCCCGACAACATACACAAACTACCGCCGTCAATGATACGGCTCGTCCCCTTCCTTCTTCGGTAAGATACAGGAGAGAGCGTGCTTCATTCAGCCAGCGCCACCTTGACAAGATGCCTCAATTTAATGGTCATTGTCTGTTTGCTGCTTTGTTCGCTTTTGCTTTTAGGGGCATATCTTTGAAAATCTGCATCCTGATCTCGGCTATTGGAACAACCGAGCTCGAATGTACTGGCGCAACGATACCCACAAAGATATGGGAGACGACTACAACCATTCTACCTTTCTAGATCTGGTATTCAGATGCTGGCTTGGTATTCGCTTGAGTACTACTGGTGTAACACAGCCATGGCTTGTCCTGAATCCTTTGATTCAAGCTCCCCACTTTGCAGCCGATCGAATCCCTTATCGTGGACGGGTACTCTCCATAGTGTATGATCCTACAGGTGACCACTATCCGAGAGTCTTCCCGCAGAAGGAAAACTTGGGTTTGGTCGTTCTGTTGGAGGGAAGGCTAGTGGCTCATCGTCCTGATCTTGGTCCAGTAGTCATCCAAGAGGAACCACCACAAGCGCATCCCCAGAGCTTTCTTGAGATCGAGTAGAGCGTGAGATTCAGAGGCCTTCCTGCTCGCTTCAGAAAAGTACATTATTTTCTGGCCTCGACCCTGCTAGCTCCCGGTACGGGCGGATCCACCCAAACCACTTGTATCCTCTGCATTTTTGCCGCCGTTGAGCCAAAACTTCGCCTTTGAAACTTTGACAAGTTCCGTCTCCTTGAGATGGCGCACCTTTTGGTTACCCCCTCAGTTGCACTCTGAAATCGATTTGCCGGCGTTTACTGTGTAAATTAGAGTAGCCGCACTTCAGTTGCAGAATCAACGGTCATGTGTATCGTTAAGTAACAAGTTCCCTTTCGAAAGATTTAGATTGATTCGTGGATCGATTCACGGATACGCTGGAATCTTGTGTCGATAGGGCTGAGGTAGTCGGTAAGGTTAAGGCTGCGCGGTTCTTTAAAGAAAAGAGTATCTTTGATGCTTTTGTCGGTAGAGATTGTTGTGCCTCCCGATTTCCATAGAGATTGTATGAGGGATGGTATGCAATTCTGCAACTGCAATAACACTCTTGATACTGGAGTTTTCCAACTTGACGGCCGTCGGCCGAGAAGAGAAAACCTTCGATTTGCAGTGCTTTTTCAATGGTGGTGGCTTTCTGCTCTGAACCGGGGAAGATCGGCTTGGATAACAGAGGAGTACCGGCCGATCGATTCGGAAGGCTCGTACCTCAATCTATCCTCGCACCTCTGCTGCCGATCCATTATTGAAGGCGCAGCAGTGACTTCTCTCCCTCATTGCATTCCTATGGCAAACAGGAAGTAAATGCAAGCTTGGCCGACAAGAGTGGTAGTAGCTACCGGTAGGAGGAATTCTTTATTCAATCGAACGACCGATCGAACGGTACGAGGTAAGCCTATTATCAAGTGTGTTATTGAAGGTGCAGCGCTGACTTCTCTCCCTCATTGAATTGCTATGGTAATCAGGAGAGAATTCTGAGCTCGGCCGTCAACAGGTGAGTTGTTTTAATTATTCGAATCGAATCGTCGCACCTCTATTATCTCTGTTATCCAAGCCTCACTCAAGCCGGCTGTCTTGGGTGTAGATTCGAAAGCCATCCCTCATTCAATCCTATGGACCATGGGATGGCAGTCAGTTCTCGGCCCATGACGGCCAAGTTGGTGTAATTTGAAAAACAAGAAAAAGTCTCCGGTTGTCTGCAGTATCAGAAGAGAAGAGAAAACCATATCTATTTCTTACTTTCTGTTCTCTTACTGCCGACGGCCGAGGAAATCCTATTGTCGAGTCCTTTTCGAACAAACGATCGCAACAAGAGGAGAAGAGGCTACCGGTGAACTGGCTACAATGGCTGGATTGACAATATTCGGTTGCGCATATATTCGTCATAAGGATCCAATGCGAGGTACCGGTAACCGTAGCGAGCAAAGCCGAACTTTCGGTACTGTTGCCACTGTCGTCGATGTAGCTATACCGCAGCCGGCTACAATGGCTGGATTCATAATGTTCGGTTGTGCATGTATTCGTCATAAGGATCCAATGCAAGATATCGGCAATGGAGTGTAGCCAGCAAAGCGGAACCTGAGTGTGTTCGGTACTGTTGACACTGTCGCCGATGTAACTATACGGCAGCTAGCTACGATGGCTGGATTGACTATATTCGGTTGTGCGTGTATTCGTCATAAGGATCCAATGCGAGGTAACCGAGTGCAGCGAGCAAAGTCGAACCTGAGTGTGTTCGGTACGGTTACCACTGTTACAGATCGATGAACTCTACGGTAGCTGGCTACGATGGCTGGATTGACAATGTTCGGTTGTGCATGTATTCGTCATAAGGATCCAATACTTTTCCAAGCGGGACCGAAACCAAGTGGAGCCCCGCCACTGGATCTGTCACTACAAAACACAGATTACTAACCAAACCAACAAAAGCATAAACTAACATCATCTCTGTATCAAGCTCATCACTGGTGGTTGGTTCTCTGCCTTCTTCTTGTATTCTTTTCTTCTGTTTCTCCTGAACTCTGTCGGAGTCTTGGGAGGAAGAGAGTAGTCATCCATGGATGCTTGCTGTTTGGATGCCATCTTGCTGTTAGGATGTCTTGTAGGCGAGGGAATTTTTTGTAGGCAAGGTTCTTGCGCGGTGGGGTTCCTTTGACTGGAGGGCCTTGAGTAGTGCTAGCTAGCGTTCATGGTCCTGTTGGATAGAGCTGGGTTGAGAGCTTGTTGTGTGTATCCTTTGATCTTTCTAACTCCGTCTGGTTGTGGAGATAGGTTTGTTCGAGTGGATTTTGTCTTAGAGAATTCGTGTCACAGTGGAGAAGTATTTGCTTGCCCGATCTTAACTGTTTTGAATGAGGGAGAGCTGGTGCTTCTGTTACTGCGTGTTGTTGGATTCTTGTGTACGATCGTATAGGAGTATTGTTGATAGTGTCGTGATTGGTCGTGTTGAAGAATGAGATGTTGTTGCCTGCCCGTGGTGGTACTCTGCAATGATGGGATGCGCCAATTCTTGTTCTTGCAACTCGAGTTCACCGAATATCCTTGTTGCGTAGCAGGAAGATAGTTTCTACCGATTCACTGTGTGTGGTGAGTAGTGTAGATACTGAGTTCTTGCTTGGCAATCGGGAAATCGAAAGGCTTGGTTGCTTCTATCGGAATCAGTCAGTCAGTTCGATCGATCGGCGATAGAGGTACGGATGTACGACTCGATCAACTGGAGTATCGTGGGAGTGGACTAGGACGTTGTTCTTGTTGTCGAGAATGGACTGAGCAGAAAGTAATTTGCTATGGCTGAGCAAAGGATTATCAGCTCGATTTCTTCTGAGCAAACAGAATGAATTCCTTGTCTTTCGATTCGGTCGTTCGTCTTGGAATGCCTGCTAGGAATGCTCGTTGCGACTGACAGATGCAGTTCCTATTCTATTCCTATGGACAGGAGTTAGATCGGGGACTATTTCTTGGAGTGGCAAACAGCGTCGATGGGAGAAACAAGACAACTCGATACTTCGAATTTCCTGTTGGTGTTTGTGGTCTTGATGTTGATGGGTGATTGGCGTTTTGGATAATGACTCCTCTGTAGAAACAGTACCAGGGTATACGTGGAATGACTGGAATTCTCTGGAATCGCAATCACTGGTATTCGTGCGTTGGCTTGGAGGGATCTTTGTGGGGATGTAACTTTTGGAATATAGCTCTGATTGACTTACTTCCAAGCACAATAGTGCTTGTCT